CGTTCTCCATCCTTCCAGAATCTTCAATATAACTATCTACCATGGATAAAGAGCAAGCTAGCCTACCCACCTTTGAAGAGAAAACCCTTGACTCATCCACCATGTTGGAAACACCACCAAACGTCCCCTCCTCCACCATTGCAAACCCAGAAACACCTAAACCTAATTCTCTTTCACCCCTATCTCTCTCATCACTCCCTCTGCTGATACTCCCTTCTTAAGTGTTGAGGACTCAGAAGTATCGAAAATAGATGGTATTTCTTCTCTACTGCCTGATACTCTCAAAGAACAGAACAAGGATGAAGAAAAGGGTGCAACTCAACAAGGAAAAGGGGTGTCCGAGGAAGACACTAATCAGTGTGCTAGTCCTCTGGTTACTGCTGCTGGTATGGAATCTCAGGAAAAGGATGCCATCAAAAACATGTTGGCCATTGTTGCTGAGGGACTGGTGAATGAGGTAACTTCTTCCATGCCTGAGTCTCAGGGGAAAGGGACTCCGCTCTTAGGAAAAGAAGGAACAATGGTGCTCTTCGGATCTTCTGCACCTGAAGAAGCTACTGGGAACCTTGCTGATGAACCTGATTCCCCCCGAGGAAATAGGTCGGGAATCATCTTCCCAGGTCAGCTTCGATCCTTCTCCATCTCCTCACTTTGATACTGAACCTTTAGAGTCCATCCCCCCCCTCCCCCCCTCCCCCATTGTGAGATATAGTGATGAGGATGAACAGGATGATATGGTTCTCAGTGCACGCTTTAAGAGTAGAAAGCCCGTGGTCACTCCTAAGCCCCCTCCTAAGCGACCTACTATAAGGTTGCAACAGAAGGAGGCTTTTGAGTCTACCATGAAGAATAACAAAAGGAGTAGCAAGAAAAAAAAAAGGCTGGTGAAGGACGGAAATATTGTGTGTGCCAAAAGTATACCTGTAGTGGAAGTGGATGAGGATGCTCAAGAGGAACCAAGTTCCCTGGTTGAGAGATCTCAGAAGAAGAAACAATCTGTTGAGAATCCCTCAAAGGAAGTTGTTAAAATACCAAGTAAAAAGTCTGTAAAAGGTAGTGTCAATTCTAAGAAAGTTGTAGGGGAAGGATCTGTGTCTGATGGTGATGTTGTGGTAAAGTCAAGTGGTAAGGGAAAGTCCATTGGCAAGTCTGCCAAAAGGAAGTTGGAAACTGTTGGGGAACTCGGTTCTGCAAAAAAAGGTGAAAAGTGTAAGTGCACTAGGGCAAGAAAGGTTGAGACATCAAAAGGTACTGTGGGGTCGCACTTTTGACCCAGAGATTTCTGAAATGGCGGGTATGAGACAAATTCTTGAGATGGTGGAATTTCAGCAGTGGGGCCATCTGTTCAAAGAGGATGTGGCCAAAGTATATGAGGATGAGGTCAAAAGCTTCTATGCCGACCTCTTCACTGTTGAAGATGACCACATCTGTGCTTTAGTGAATGGAGTGGACATGGTATTGGATGCTACTATGTTGGGGGACTTTCTCAAGGTTCCATCTGAAGGTTTGTCATCTATGAGAAGTGCTTGTGGCTCTAATTTTAGGCGCGCCATTATGAAAGAAACAGTTGTCCAGCATGGGAAACGGGTACACAAGAAAGATCTGCTTCCTATGTACCAACTGTTTTTCTAGTTGGTTAAAAAGGTTCCGCTCCCTCGTGCTGAAAGAAGGTCCATTACTTCCATTTCTAATCTATACTTAATGGAAGAACTAGATGAGTTCCGTTCTATCAAGTTGCCTGCCATTATGATTGAATATATACAGAAAGTGGCAGCTTTCAAAGATGGGAACCATGGACTTCTGTATGGCTTTCTTCTCATGCGTGTCTTCAAGTTCTTTGATGTACCCTTAGGAAATCCCAGGATGGGGACCAAAAAATAAACCTTCTCGAAAACTACACTGGAGGAATGTGAATGTATTGAAAAGGTTGGAGGAATGGGAAGCACTTCGACAATTTCACAGCTAATCAACGCTCAGAATAGTGCCATAGAGGAGATCAGGAAGCTAAAGGCAAGGAACGATATTCTTGAGACTCAACTTATTCGGGCAATAGCAGCACGAGGACCCTCCAGTTCATCAAATGAAGAAGTTGCTCATTTGTCTAAAGAAAATGCTGAGCTCAGGCAATAAGTGGAGAACCTGAGAGAGAAACTACTCGCAGAGCAACTGTCCGCAAATCTCGGATTGACCTTGTTCTCAACACTCTTGCTGCCTCCTCCAAGCCTTCCCCCTCTAGTGCCCCCTAAGAAACTCTTCCAGTGACCAGTGTCAAGTTTCTATCTTTTGTTTTGATGACTTGTGGTATTTTTTTTTTGTTTTTTTTTTTGTGATGTGGATGGATTTCACCTGTACTGCTCCAGCTTTCAACTGTCCAAACTTGACTCTCTTTCGCTGTTAAATGCTTGTCTTTTTCTGCTTCTCTTTTCTATCATGTTGTGTGCACACATGTGGCATGAGTTAGCTAGGCTAGACTTCTTTATGTTGAGTGCTTGCTTGTATATTTTTAATGATGCCAAAAGGGGGAAGATAAATTGAAGCAGGGGCATCTGAGTAAGGGGAAACAAAGAGTCAGGGGGAACTTGTGAAGTTCCTGGTACTTTATCTGGTTGATTGTGTTCTACAAATTGTTTTTAAATTTTAAGTTTGTCATCATCAAAAAGGGGAAAATTGATGGGTTTAAAGTATCTTAGATTTATGTTTTGATGATCTAACAAACTTATTGTTAAGAACCAGATAAAGGACCTGGTGTACATTTGGTATATATCTCGATCAACGGACTTAAGCTAATATATGTTGTATGACTTCAGACAGAAAAGAATCAACTCAGGGACCTGATCCCTTTGAGTTTTTCTGACAGCAGTACGAAGTCAACTCTACAAGTTGGAAAGTAACTGCCTGCACTGTACATGCTACAGTGCAGAAACAGTACAGCAGTCACTTCCCATTGGGAAGGGCTTTTTACCAACCAAGTATTTACATCATCCAAGTGATGTCATCCAAAGGATATTAACAAGAAGCATTACAACAAAACATCACTTGAACACTTGTGAAATCATTCAAGCACTCAAGATCTGATAATCAAGCATTGAAGTCACAAGTGCATCAAGAACAAAGTACAACACTACTACGGACCAGTTCCTACAACAAGTCTTTTGTATGTCCTTAGTTGAGTTTGTATCTTTGTATTAGTTCTTCATTGTAATTCCTACTTTGCTTATTTAGAAGCTTTAACTAGGAACCTCCAAAAACCATAAACCCTTAGAGTTTGTGTCGTAACTAGAGTTAGTCATGAGTTGAAGTCTTTGTAATAGGTGTATTACAAAGTGGCTTGTAATAGGTGTATTACAAGTTAGTGAGGGATTAAGAGTTTAATTTCTAGGTTACAATAGGTTGTAATCTAAAGATTGCTCAAGTAGTGAAGTTGAAATTCTACAAGTGTAGGTCGTGATTTTTTATCCCCTTGAGCAGGGATTTTTCCACGTAAAATCTTCTATGTCATTTACTTGTTGTTTCATTAGTTATTTCTGTGAGAACTGGTATAGGACCAGGTCTCTATACAATTTGGTGGACTCATACATTCTATAAGGAGGGTCTTTCTTTCACTTTAGGGGGCTTAAAAAAACACACATCTTACTACACATATTTACACGCTAGACACATCTTGAGATGTTTTGAACACACTACAAAATATCACAAAAAAAGGGCAGCTAGAGCCCAAAAAGACATCCCTGGCAGCTTCTCTTTACTGAGGAAAATTTCAGACAAAAGTTTCAGAGTTCTTGGTTCGAAAAGTTAGTTTTCTAGGTTTGGAGTTCAGCCGCACTAAGGCGGGTACTAGTTTGCTGCTGTTGTTGAAAGAAGATCGCTGAGTTGTTAACATTTTGGAATTTTCTCTGTTGCCGTGTTAAATTTTATCGTCAACTAGGTACTTTTTTTTACCATGTAATACTTAAATATGTTCTTGAATGCAAAAGCTTGAAGTTTTACCATGTAGGTTAGATTTGTACGTAACAGTTATCTCCAGCTTTAACTTGTTCCAATATTCAAGTGTTGAGTTCATTTAGTTTCTCTTGCATAGATGCTGTAAAGTTAGAGATTAAAAGGAATAAGAAGATATACTTAGAAGCATATTTTAACTCGCTGTTTGAGTTAGTTTCATAAGTATTAAGGTTGAATGTGCATTCTCGTCTAACCTTAAGTGAAAATGGTCACCTGCTCGGTCAAGGCTCTTAAGATCAATTCCAACTTTCCAAAATAATACTTTGATTAGATATAATACATAGCCTTTGAAATAGAAATGGAGTTCAAACCATCAAGAAGTGTAGATATGATCCCGTCATCTTCGTTGGAATTTTATTTAATACAGTAGCTTTCTTTTCTGTCTTCAACTACTTTGATATTTTCTAAAGAGTTTCTGTTAAAAATTTAAGCAGAGAGTATCACGAATAAAAATATTTTCATTAAGTTAGTTAGGCTCGAAAGCTTACTTCCATAATTGATTGGCCAAATTCTCTAAGCTGAGGCGTGCCACATAATTGAGAGAAGTTAGATTTTTAGATTTTTCTTTTTAAAATAAATAAAAATAAAATTTAACAGACTTAACCACTTTTTAATTAATTTTTAATGCTACGAAACTAGTAGGTGCATTTTAACTTTTTCATTCTTGGACTCGCTTGCGTAGCGTGATAGTTAACTTTCAATAAATTAATTCAATAATCCCATACCATATCCAATAACTTTAATTAATTCTTAATTTTAGTTAATCTTTTTTTCATAATTGTAGATTCACTTGCGTAGCGCGATGGTGTCATTTAATATATTTCAATAATTAATTTTCTCAAGAACAAATGCAGTAATTTTAAAAAGCACTACAAATAATCGATTGTCATGATTTCGGATTCGCTTACGAGGCGCGATTATGATAAATTAACAAATGAGCCATTTCTTTCTTTCTTTCCCTTTAGGGGCATTTTCAGTTTAAATATTATTCTTTCTCACTTTTATATCGCGTCAAAATTAAATACGATCTCTTTCCATACTTCACAAGCAGCAGCTAGTTCCGGGCTCCATTTGCAAGCCTCGCGAATAATTTCATTACCTTCCTGAGCAAGATCACGTCCTTCATTACGAGCTTTTACACATGCTTCTAGAGCTACTCGATTAGCTACGGCACCTGGCGCATTACCCCAAGGATGTCCTAAAGTTCCTCCACCGAACTGTAGTACGGAATCATCCCCAAAGATCTCGGTCAGAGCAGGCATATGCCAAACGTGAATACCTCCTGAAGCCACGGGTAGAACACCTGGTAAAGAGACCCAATCTTGAGTGAAATAAATACCGCGACTTCGATCTTGTTCAACAAAATCATCACGCAGTAAATCAACAAAGCCCAAAGTTATGTCTCTTTCACCTTCAAGTTTACCTACTACGGTACCAGAGTGAATATGATCTCCACCAGACATACGTAACGCTTTTGCTAATACCCGGAAGTGGNTATGTCCTTTTGCTTTATCATTTTGAGTCGGTCTATGTAAATAAAATGAGAAATAATTTCAAAATATGCTACTAGCTTTCTAATTGCACAGAGCAAGCTCTATCCTATCACAACAAAGAAGACATAATCCAGCAAGCAATATGCACAATAAGTTGTTGAAGTTAAATAAAATATGAGTATTCGTGCAAAAGAAAATTCCAAAGAGACGTTTGTTGATCTATTTGTTAGAATCCAGCAAAGAAACATTGGTCACCGTTTCCCAAAAGCTCAAAAAAATAAATGTGGGGCATACACAATCGGGAAAATGAACAGATATAATTGTGATATTCTTTTCACCCTCGTTGCATTTTTTTCCATTGGACAAAAATACCTTAGTAGCATCTGTAGGGTAAAAACGCCCTATCCCTTTTCAGCACAGGGCATAAACACCCTCGTCGCTTCGACCCTAGGGTACAAACACCTTACTGGTTTAGGGTACAAACACCCTATTCCTTTTCAGCACAGGGCACAAACACCCTCGCCGCTTTTTTACCCTAAGGCACAAACACCTTAGTAGCATTTTTAGGGGACAAACACCCTATCTATTTACAGCATATAGCACGAACACCCTCGTTGCTTCTTGACCTAGGGAACGAACACCTTAGTGGCATTTTAGGGCAAAAATACCCTATCGTTCCTCAGCAAAGGGCACAAACACCCTTGTTGGATTTTGACTTTAGGGCAAAAGCACTTGATCCCTTTTAGTACAAGTACAAACACCCTTGTCGCCTTTTGACCCTAGGGTCGAAACACCTTAGTGGCATTTTTATGGCACAAACACCCTATTTCTTTACAACATAGGGAACAGACACCCTCATTGTATTTTGCTCAAGGGCACAAACACCTTACCAGCAATTTTAGGGCACAAACACCTTTCCAGCAATTTTGGGGCACAAACATCCTATTCGTTTTTAGCACATGGCATAAATACCCTCATTGCATTTTGATTCTATAACACAAACCACCTTAGTGATATTTTTAGGGCACAAACACCCTATCCTTTTTCAGCATAGGGAACAAACAACCTTGTGTTGTTGTAGGGATTAAATACCCTGATCTCCTTCTAAGAAAACAAAAAAACTATTTCTTTCCAGCATATGAAAAAAATACCTTATTGCATTCGACCTTAGGAAACAAACACTATAGTGCCAATTTAGGGAATAAAATCTAATTTTTCTTTCATGTCATATCCTTTTTATCTTTCAATAAAATAAGTTGATCTGCAGCTTTACCCAATAACTCATAAAATTTTCTCAGCGCCAAAGTGGGGCAGAAAATTTTATTCGCGTTGTTCATCTTTGATGTCTTTGTAGGCCCTCGCCGTAGAGCACTTATGGTGACTATCACAGCTTGCAGTTTCAGTTCTCATCAGAAGAAATAAGTCTTGTGGTCATAAGATATTTGGAGTTAACTTTGATAATGTGTCAGCAACCCACCTTCTCAAGACTCATTCTCTCCGATCAAGAAAGCAAGCAATTGAAAATGGGCCATGATATTTTCTTCAAAGAGCATCAAGATCCAATCTAAGGTCAACACAAGCGAGCAAGTCAAGAATCAAGATTTGACTTCAGAAGATACATAGATAGGAATTTTGTAACTCCTAAATAGCAGACATATGCAATTTTCTCTTTCTTTTCAATTGATGTAATAGCAAACAACAAGCAAAAGTAACGGTAACAGCAACAACAACAGTCTTAACTCCAGTGTCCGGTAGTCCCATCTACCAAAATATTTTAGAACTACACTGACCTAATTTTTTTTCAGCCAAGGATATGTAGGCAACCTCGCAAGCAAGGTTCGGTCACATTTTTCAAAAAAAATAATTTCATTGGAGTGATATTTGAGCAAAAATTAGCCATGACATTCACATTCTTTGCACGAAAACTCTTCATGTTCTTGAGCAAAGAGGGGCAGCTATGAATATCTAATTTTGGTACTATTTTAACATCTCCTAAAGGCATTAGTGTTTTGTTATCTTAATTATTTTTTTCAATTTTTGTGTCTTTAATTGCATATTTTTCTATCATAATAATACAAAAAAATACTTCTTCCTTCGTTAGTGCATTTTAGGAACTAACTAATTATTCAATTAGTGAATTGATAATTTAAATAAGTTATTTAATTAATTATTTTGTTTGCGTAAATTTAGTTAAATAAGTAGGAATAAAGAAAAATGGATTATAATTAAAATGGTTAACTGGGTGGCCAGAGATGGGGCTAAAACAACGTAGTTTTGTCTGAAGCTACGTAGTTACATTAAATGAAGTCAAGATAAGATCTGAGCCCTCCTTTCTCTTCAATCCAATGGCCCTGATTTGATTTCCTTTGAGGCAGATTTTTTGCCATATCTCTAAAAACCCAAACCCAAGAAGCTCCTCTCTTCTCTCTCACTCATCATTTGTCGTTGCCGCCCTTCTCTATGGCGGCACCACCGTCCCCCACCATCCACCGATGACCAAACAACTTTAAACCTACACCAAACTCCCTCTCTTCTCCACCTCTACCCGAATCCACCAGTCAAACCACCAAAAAACCCCTCCTCCGCCACCTACCACCGTTCGAGTCGCCACCCCAATACCGCATCCAGCGGTGGTCCGTTCACCCAAAGACCTGCACTATTCTCTTCTTCTTCTCACACTCTACCCGTATCCAAGTTATAAATCCCCAAAATCCTTGCCAATCTCCTTTAATCTAGTTTGACTGAAACCTTAGCTGCCCCTCTTTCTTCAAATTCGAAGAACACTGGCCATCCCTACCTCTTAATTCTTATATCATTGGATAGATCTTAAACCACAATTATTAGCTTCACGACCAAACTCCACCGATAAAAATTCGGTCAAACTCCGGTAACCATTTGAAACCACCACTATCTGAGCACCAACAAAATCACCACCATTGATCTTGTACCTTGGTCTATCTCGTGACTCGGAGCACGATTTCTCGTTGGCGATATCGTGACTGAACACAGGCTCGCTGGAATTCACGGTCATGATTCATTAATTAAAAATTATGCTCGAAATTCACATCATTGCCGTTTTGACATCCCACCACTGTCTTGGTCATCTGGACTGTGAAATGGTAAAAATATTAATCTCGTTCCTCCGCACCTGAATTTCTGTTTTTATGTAATTGATATTAGAGTTTTTATTTAGGTGAGTTCTAATTTGTTGTTTCTTGGGTTAGTTTGAATCAAATAGGGTGGTGTTGGTTTGGTTTAAAAGCTAAAAAGTAGATATGTTACTCAAGAGGGTAAGGTACTTCCTTGTTTGATTTTACTGTTCAAAGACTATAGAGAATACTAAACTCCATAAGGTATGTCCTTATTTGGTAAAATACTGTCTCTTGGACAGATTTTTAACCAAAAATATATCCTTTGAATATAGTTTGGACATATTTTCATAATGGACTCAAGGCTGCCCTCTGATGAAATGGAGGTTTGAGAAGAGATGGAAACCCTAACTAACGAGGGAGAAGAGAGAAGAGAAGAGGAGCATGAAGATGAATGCAACAGTAGTGAAAATGAATGCTCTTTTTTTTTTACTTGTAGAAGCTGTATATATACAAGACTTTACTAACTACTTTAATCACCTCACTAACCAATCACATGTATCAATAACTAACTAACTAATACATTTATCTGCTAACATATAAATAGACAAAACTACCCCTGTATTCAAGTTACATATTTTGTCTCAACGCTCTCCCTCGAGCTTGGTGGTAGAAAGACATCAAGTATACCTAGCTTGGACAGCAAATACTCGTGTTGCACTCTAGGTAGACCTTTGGTTAGAATGTCTGCTAACTTCTCTTTTGTAGCTATATATTCTGTTTGTACCAGACCATTCTGCATCTTCTCCCTTATGAAGTGAAGGTCTATTTCAATGTGTTTGGTTAGTTCGTGAAATACTAGATTGGTAGCTATTTGAATTGCTGCTTTACTGTCAGTGTGGATGTTCACGGGAAGGCCAACTTCTATACCAATGTCTTTGAACAGACCAAGTATCCATACCAATTGAGCTACAATTGATGCAATGCTTCTGTACTTAGATTCTGCAGAGCTCCTAGAAATGGTGCTTTATTTCTTTGACTTCCAAGATATCAGGGAATCACCATACTTGATGAAGAATCTTATTACTGACTTCCTAGTGATAGGGCAGGCTGCCCAGTCTGCATCACAATATGCAGTGATAATGTTTCTCTGTTTCTTAGACAATAATATGCCTTGTCCTGGTTGGTTCTTCACATATCTAACCACCCTTTGAGCTGCTTCCAAATGTAATCTTTTCGGTTTCTGCATAAACTGGCTTAGTGTCTGAACACTATACGCTATGTATGGCCTTGTGACAGTTAAGCAGAGTAGTTTCCCCAATAATATTTGATACTGGCTGATGTCTGTTAATACTTCATCATCAGTTGTATTAGAGCTGCTAGTATGTCCATCATACTCCTTAGTGGTCAGTTTGATGTTGGCTTCAATAGGTGTTGCTGCAGGTTTTGCAGCTCCCAGTACAAGCTCATAAATCATCTCTAGAGTCTACTTCCTTTGGTGGATTAGAATGCCTCTTTGTGACCTAGCAAACTCAATGCCAAGAAAGTATTTAAGATCTCCTGGATCTTTCATTTTGAATGTGTGCTTCAGCTTGGTCTTCATCTCAGCTATTATTGTCAGGTTAGGCCCAGTGATTAGCATGTCATCAACATACACCAAGATGATTATGATGTGTTCCCCTGACCCTTTGATGGATAGGGAGTGGTCATGTTGACTTTGCATGACTCAGAACTGCCTTAGACAACTTAGCATTCCACTGTCTTGGTGCATGTTTAAGTCCATACAGGGATTTCAAGAGTCTACATGCTGGTCTTGTCTCCCCTTAACTCTGAAAACCCTGTGGTAAGGTCATGTATATCTCATCATAGAGATCTCCTTGAAAAAAAGCATTATACATATCTATTTGATGAATGTGCCAATGTTCAAAGGCATCCACAACTAGGATGGTTCTAACAGTAACCATCTTAACTACTGGACTAAATGTTTCTTGGTAGTCAATGCCCTCCTATTGGCTGTACCCTTTGGCCACCAGCCTGGCTTTGAACCTCTCCACCTCTCCTGTAGCTTTGTACTACACCTTATAGATCCACTTACAATCAATAGGCACCTTGCCTGCAGGTAAGGACACCACATCCCAGGTGTGATTGGATTCTAGTGCAGCAGTTTCAGCTTGCATAGTTTCAACCTACCTAGGATCTTGAGCAACTTGCTCAAAATAAGTAGGCTCCTGGATTGCAGAGAATGTTGTCAAATAGGCCTAATATTTGGGAGAAATTCTATCATAGGACACATAGTTAGCAATGGAATAGGGAACAGATTTGTGTCCAGACTGTAACACTAAGTCCTTCATCTATATGGGAGCCTGCATTGTCCTGAAGGATCTCCTCAGACCAGTGGAGTACTGAGTAGGATGAGGAAGTATAGAAGGCATCACATATGCTGCTGACTGGTGCAAAGGAGAAGAGTTAGTAAACTCATGCCTAGCAGGAACAAAAGGGAGTGAAGGTTTCTCTTCACTAGAACTGGACAAGTGAGGAGGCAAGAAAATAGGAGATGATGTGGTTGTGATGTCTTTGAAGGGAAATATAGCCTCCCTAATGGATACATCCTTGTTGATAAAAAAAATAATGAGAAGAGAGATCCAGTATAATGTAGGCCTTCTGAGTATCAGAGAACCCCATGAGAACAGCTCGCTTAGCCCTGGGCAGAAGTTTATCTGTTTCATAAACTTGCTTGGTATATTACAAGCAACCAAGAATTCTTAAGTGACCCAGTTTACGTGCCCTACCATATAATAATTCAAAAGGGGAAAGACTACGAAGAACGGAAGATGGCATCCTATTTATGAGGTACACTACTGCAAGCGCACAATGCCCCTAATACTTGATAGGAATATTGTCCTGAGACCTTAAAGCTCATGTGACTTCTAGGATATGCATGTGCTTTCGCTCAGCAACTCCATTTTGCCGAGGATTATAAACATAGGTTATTTGATGAATGATACCGTACTTATGAAACAATGTGGTACAGTTAGAGTTGACAAACGCAGAGCCATTGTCTAACCTAACTGCGTCCACAACTTTGTTAAACTGAGTTTGAATGAACACAATAAGCTGAGTAACCACCACACATACATAAGATTTGACCTTCAGTAGAAATAGCCAAGTCATCCTAGTAAAGTCATCAACAACTATCGGAAAATACTTATTGACATCAAATGTTGCACGGTTATATGGGCCCCAAACATCAAGATATATTAAATCAAATGCAGCAACAGTCTTAATACAGCTAGAAGGGAATGGCAGCCTGGTTTTCCTAGCACAAGGGCATATACTACATTTATTGATAGTGTCATTGATACTAGCTAGTTTGGCAACAAACAGCTTTCTAAGAACAATACTAGATACATGACCTGGTCTTTTATGCCACAAGGCAACATAAATTGTAGTGTCACCCTGCCTTGACTTTATTCTAGCAGCAGCTAAAGAGACTGCAATGAGCTTCTTGCCACTATATCTCTGCAAAAAGTATAGACCATCTCTTTCTCTACCAATCTCCCTCACCCTGTCACTGAAGAGATCCTGAAAAACACAGAAATCAAGATAAAAGGAAGCAAATCATTTACAATCTCTTATCACTTTGGAGACTGATAATAAGTTGAACTTGAACTGAGGCACATAAAAGACTTCTTTAAGTGTGCTTTTATCTCCAATATTACTGTCACCAGTGTGAGTTACTTGAGTGACATCTCCATTAGGTAATAAGGTTGTCCTAGGCTTAGAGGGAGCAACTACAGAAGTCTTAGTAAGCAAGATAGCATCTGACACCATATGATTAGTTGCTCCAGTATCAATAATCCATTCTTGTGGACTAGTAGATGCTAAGAGAGCAGTGCTAATACCTGTCCCATTTTCTTGAGCAGAGGAAGTTGAATTGTTCAGAATCTGCATTATCTGATCATACTATTCTTTAGTGAAAGGAAAAGCACTTCCTTGAGCCTGTGGAGAGGAACCTGTGTAAGGTCCTTATACTTGTATAGAGGAGGATCCTACTAGAGCTTGAGGAATAGAATAACCTTGTGCCTGATTCATGGCTTGAGAATACTCCACTCCTTGAGTCATGGTCTGTTGAGGATTTTGATATGCAGGCAAATGAGGCATTGGTGTTTGCTAAGAAACCTGGTTTGACGCATGATTGGAGTACATAGGCATATTGTATCCAGGTTCGACCATTGCATTATAAGCCCCAACCCCCNAGTTGCTCTAGTATCAATAATCCATTCTTGTGGGCTAGTAGATGCTAAGAGAGCAGTGCTAGTACCTGTCACATTTTCTTGAGCAGAGGAAGTTGAATTGTTCAGAATCTGTATTATTTGATCATACTGTTCTTTAGTGAAAGGAAAAGCACTTCCTTGAGTCTGTGGAAAGGAACCTGTGTAAGGTCCATGTACTTGTATAGAAGAGGATCATGCTAGAGCTTGAGGACCAGAATGACCTTGTGTGTGATTCATTGCTTGAGAATACTCAATTCCTTGAGTCATGGTCTGTTGAGGATTTTGATATGCAGGCAAAAGAGGCATTGGTGGTTGCTGAGAAACCTGGTTTGACGCATGATTGGAGTACATAGGCATAGTGTATCCAGGCTCGACCATTGCATTATAAGCCCCAACTCCCCCATTTCTTTTTGAATTTATAATCTGATGGATAACCTATTATTTTGAAGTAGTTTTCTTTACTGTGGCCCTTCATTTTGCAAAACTCACACTGAATGTTGTAGTTCTTTCTAAATTTTGGATTGAAACTAGGTTTAGCACTATATAGTGCAGTTGAATCATAAGGATGTGTATTTACATTAGGTGAAGCTCCTAAAATACCAGCAGAAGCAGCTACAACTCTTTGGCTTTCATCACTCATTAGCATGGCATATGCTTGATTTACTGAAGAAAGTGGCTTCATCATAAGTATTTGACTATGAGCTTGAGAGTAAAAGTCATTCAAGCCCATTAGAAACTGATACACCTTTTGCTTTCGTAGATGTACAATAAACTCCTTTGTCTTAATAGAATCACAGTCAGGAGTGGGTATACCAGACTCAGATTCATCCCAAAAGTCCATGAGCCTTGAATAATAGACAGAGATAGAGGAAGTACCTTGACTTAGGGTAGCAATTTACTTGTGCAAATTGTAGCAACGAGTATCATTCACTTTGTCAAACCTCTCTTGTAAATCTGTCCACACCTTCTGTGCACTAGTGGCATAAGCAATACTACTGATTAAGGCTGGTGCAACTGAGTTCATCAGCCATGACAACACAATTGCATTGCATCGTTCCCATTGATACCAATACTTCTCAAAAAATCGCTCTTTTGGCCACCTGCCATCAACAATACCTAGTTTATTGCGGCGAAGTAATGCAATACGCATAGATCGATACCACAAGGAGTAATTATCAGTGCCAGTCAGCTGGAATGAAATCAATGAAATTCCACTTGTGTCGCCCGGAGCTAGGTATAGAGGGTGAGTGACTGCAATTGTAACACCTTCCTCAAATTCATCATCGGAGGATGCATGTGATGCATTTTCAGCTGTGACAGTTGCATTTTTATGTTCTAAATCATTAATCGCCATTGTTGAGTACTTTGGGCTTCGAATCAGAAAAATGAGATCTCAATTGTTTGAGACTGCAGAGAAGAAGACAAAGTAGAGGAGAAGACAGGGGATCGATTTGCGAGCTTCGATTCAGAGCTCTAGCTCTGATACCATGCTGAAATGGAGCTTTGAGAAAAGATGGAAACCCTAACTAACGAGGGAGAAGAGAAAAGAGAAGAGAAGCATGAAGATGAATGCAACAGAAGTGAGAAATGATTGCTTTGTTTTTCATTACTTGTAGAAGTTGTATATATACAAGACTTTACTAACTACTCTAACCACCTCAAACCAATCACATGTATCATTAACTAACTAACTAATACATTAATTTGGTAATATATGAATAGACTAAACTACCCCAGTGTTCAAGTTACACCTTTTGTCTCAACACCCTCTCTTATAAAAAGAGTCTTTCTTTCACTTTTGGGAGACATTAAAAAAATACACATCTTACTGCACATCTTTACACACTAGACACATCTTGAAAAGTTTTTAACACATTACAAAATATCACAAAAAAAAGAGCAGCTAGAGCCCATAAAGACATCCCTAACAGTCTCTCTTTGCCGAGGAAAGTTTTAGACAAAAGTTTCAGAGTTCTTCCTTGGTTCGAAAAGTTAGTTTTCACGGTTTGCAGTTCCTCCGCACTAAGGCGCCTACTGGTTTGTTGTTCTTGTTGAAAGAAGATCGATGAGTTGTTAACATTTCGGAATTTTCTCTGTTGCCTTGTTAAAGTTTGTCGTGAACTAGGTACTTTTCTTTACCACGTAATACTTAAATATATTCTTGAATGCAAAATCATGAAGTTATGAGCTTTGTTTATTGTTTTCAGCACTTCTGCAATTTATTTATTTTTACCATGTCGAAACCGTCTTCTCTTTGTTTGAGCATACTAGTTTAGCTTATCTCGTGAATACAAAGCTCGATTAGTTAATGCTACAAAAGATCTGAATTTTTTAAGTTCAAAGCATGTTTCTGATTGTTGCCCAGCTCTTCCAGTTATATTTGTGAATTATTAGCTTGCCTCCTTTACACATGTATGAATCTAGTTATTTGGAGAAAATAGCTTTAGAGTTTTTTTTGGTTAAGATTCATGTAGGTTAGATTTGTAATTGTTATCTCCATCTTTAACTTGTTCCAATATTCAAGTATTGAGTTCATTTAGTTTCTCTTGCATAGATGTTGTAAAGATAGAGATTAAAAGGAAAAAAATAAAGTTAAATATAGAATTTAATTAAAATAAAGTTCCTTAGAAGCATAGTTTAACTCACTGTTTAAGTAAGTTTCATAAGTATTAAGGTTTAATGTGCATTCTCGTCTAAACTTAAGTGAAAATGGTCACCCGCTCAGTCAAGGCTCTTAAGATCAATTTCAACTATCCAAAATAATACTTTGATTAGGTATAATGCATAGCCTTTGAAATAGAAATGGAGTTCAAACTACCAAGAAGTGTAGATATGATTCCGTCATCCACATAGGAATTTTGTTTAATATATTAGCTTTCTTTTCTGTCTTTAACTACTTTCATATTTTCTTAAGAGTTTCTGTTAAGTAGCATAGAGTCTCGTTTCAAACATCATCTGAAATAAAATATTTGATTTGGTATATTCTGATGTTTGTGATCCAATAGAAATAGAATCGATTGGCAGTAATAAATATTTTGTTACTTTTATTGAGGATGCTTCACAAAAATTATGGGTGTCTACCTTAAAAACCAAAGATCAGGTGTTTCAAATTTTTCATAAGTTTTATGCTCTAGTAGAAAGGGAGATATGACAAAAGCTAAATCGTCTCTGAAGTGTCAATGGAGGTGAGTACACTTCAAGATCATTTTAAGAGTATTGTTCAAGTCATAGAATCTAACATGAAAAGATAGCTCCTGGAACCCCCACGGCACAATGGCATAGCCGAAAGGATGAACCGCACCATTATTAAGAAGGTGAGATTCATGCTTAGGATGGTTAAACTGCCTAAGTTATTCTGGGGTGAAGCAGTTCAAATAGCATATTTCCTGATCAATATGAGTCCATCAGTTTCATTGGCGTTTGGCTTCCCATAGATAGTTTGGACCAACATTGTAACGTCTCAACCGATCATTTTGAGAATATTAGCCTCGATCCCTTATTTATTGCTCCCTCTATTTTATTTTGTGGTTATGTGACTTGCCGGTGCGCTTGGTATCAGGTTCGGGAGAGTTTCGGAATATAATGGGATACATCGTCCCTAAATTAGAAGTTTAGGTTGTAGGAGTTAGTTGTAGTTTGACTTATATGAAGACGACTCTGGAATAAAGTTTTGGCAGTTCCACTAGCTCCGTATGGTGATTTGAGTCTTAGGAGCATGTTTAGATGTTGAATTTGGAGGTTCGTAGGTCATTTCGGCGTTAATTGGCGAAAGTTGAAAAGTTGGAAGATTTTGGAATGTTTGACCGAGAGTAGACTTTTTGATATCGGGGTGAGATTTCGATTCTCGAAGTTGTAGTAGGTCCGTAATGTCAATTATGACTTGTGTGCAAAATTTAGTATCAATCAGAGTTGTTTTGGTATGAATCGCCGTCGGGTTTGGAAATTGGAAGTTTATAAGTTCATTAGGCATAAATTGGGGCAAGATTCGTATTTTTGATGTTGTTTGATGTGATTTTTGGCCTCGAGTCGGTCTGTTATGTATTTTGGAACTTGTTGGTATATTCTGACGGGGTCCTGGGAGGCCCGGGTGTGATTTAGATTGATATCGGAATAAAATTTAGACATGTGCAAATGTTGAAGCTCCCAGTTCTGGTGTCACCGCACCTGTGGAGGGTTTGGCCGCATGTGTGGACTCACATAAGCGAGCTTTGAATCGCAGAGGCGAAGCTGGCCTTGCCCGGCTGTGGTCACAGAAGCGCCAGTGGTCGTAAGTGCGACATTTCATACGCTGAAGCACAAACACAGGTGCACTTAGGGTGTTCGCAGAAGCAAGATTTCTGAGCCTAAGTGAGGGCCGCACCTGCGATGATTTTCCGCAGGTGCGCAGCCGCATATGCGGCAATATAGTCGCAGGTGCGATATAACTGGGCAGAAAAGTGGAAACATCGAGGATTTCATTTCATTTTTTATTTTGGGACTTGGAGAGCTCGGATTGAGGAGCGATTTTGAGAGATTTTATGTGGAAGTGTTGGGTTAAGGATTTTTGACTCATTTTTAATTAATTCCCGTGTATCTACTCTTAATTATACCTTTTAATTAGGGATTTGGGTTGAAAGATTTGGGAGAAATTGGAGGAAACTTCTTAGGCTGAATTTTGGGGATTTGAGCGAGATTTTGGTATCAGATTTGTGTAATTCTTGTTTGGTTGCACTCGATATCGAATGGGTTTTCGAATTTTTTAAATTTGGTCGGGTTCCAAGATGTGGGCTCGGGTAGACTTTTTGGAGTGATTATTCAATTCTTAGCTAAGATCATTATTTTATTATTTAAATTAATTTCTTATAGTTATATTTATACAATGATATTATTTTGGCTTGATTCGAGCCGTTTAGAGTTGGAAAATCGAAGGAAAGGCCTTATAACTGATTGATTGAGCGTGGTTTGAGGTAAGTAACTTGTCTAACTTTGTGTGGGAAAAATTTTCCTTAGGATTTAGTATTTTTGTAATAAGTTTTTAAATGTGAAGGTCGTGTACGCAAGGTGACAAGTGCGCACACGAGCTAAATGTTGCAATTCCGGTCTTTGCTATGTAGTTTCCTTTTCATGCCTTAATTGGGTTACTTTAGCACGTTATAATCATCATGTTTATCCTAATTTCACATGTCTAGTTGTCTTATCTCCTATTTGCAACTTGTATCACATTTTTAGTTGAATTACTTGTTTTTCTTGATTTATGTATCCATTACTTAACTGTGGAACTCTTTACTTGTTTTGGCTTGTGTGGTTTCTCAGTCTTCTCTTTATGATCGTATCAGAGAGCGCCAGTATGACGACCCCCATCTTCTTGTCCTCAAGGACACGGTTCAGCATGGCGATGCCAAGGAGGTCACTATTGTAGATAATGGTGTATTACGGATGCAAGGCAGGCTATGTGTGCCCAATGTAGATGGCTTGTGGGAGTTGATTCTACAGGAGGTTCACAGTTCGCGATACTCCATTCATCCAGGTACCGCGAAGATGTATAAGGACCTGAGGCAACATTATTGGTGGAGGAGAAGGAAGAAGGACATAGTGGAGTATGTATCTCAGTGCCTAAATTGCCAACAGGTGAAGTATGAGCATTAGTAGCCAGGTGGAATGCTTCAGAAGCTAGAGATTCCGAAGTGGAAATGGGAGCGGATTACTATGGATTTTTTTGTTGGGCTCCCACAGACTCAGAGGAAGTTCGATGCAGTTTGGGTGATTGTGTATAGATTGACAAAGTCATATCATTTCATCCCAGTAGTGACTACTTACTCTTCGGAGCAGCTGGTTCAGATTTACATTGGCGAGATTGTCAGGCTTCATGACGTGCCAGTATCTATCATCTCGGATCGAGGTACGTAGCTTACATCATGGTTCTGTAGTGTCGTACAACATGAGTTAGGTACTCGGGTGGAGTTGAGTACAACATTTCACCCTCAGACGGACGGACAGTCTGAGCGCACTATTCAGATATTGGAAGATATGCTTTGTGCGTGTGTGATGGAGTTTGAGGGTTCTTGGGATCCATTCTTGCCGCTTGAGGAGTTTGACTACAACAACAGTTATCAGTCAAGCATTCAGATGGCCCCGTATGAGGCTTTGTATGGTAGGCAGTGCCGGTCTCCGGTGGGTTGGTTTGAGCCGGGTGAGGCAAGACTCTTTGGTACAGACTTGGTTCACGATGCTTTGGAAAAGGTTAAATTGATTCAGGATTGACTTCGTAGAGCCCAATCTAGACAGAAGAGTTATGCGGATCGGAAGGTTCGTGACGTTACATTCATGGTTGGGGAGCGGGTCTTGCTCTGGGTTTTGCCCAAGAAGGGTGTTATG